TATAATTCAGAATATTTCCAGCATGGGTCAGAATATCTTGGTTCTAAAGCAGTGCTTCACCATTTATAGAAATTTATAGCAAAGACAAGTATTAAGGTTTTTTTTTCAACTTCTTTATTAGTACATGTTTATAGTACATAATGATTGCATTCCTTGTGGGGAGTTGGTACATATACATAACACATATTAATTCTTTTTTATCCTCCCCCCCCTTTATTCCCATTTCTCCATCATTAAGCGGCTTCATATGCTTTGACTAATTACTCAAGAAAGTTTCCCCAAAACTTATAATTTGAATTCTCTTTTTAATGGGCAGCCAGGAGATTCTTACTCCTTAGGAAAATGAAGATTCCAGATAAAGGAGAGTATGCCGTTCTTTTATAAGTGTAATGAAAGGAGATATAATTATGTAGGATGTTTGTTGTAGGCAAAAGAAAGAAAATATTGAAGTAAGAAAAAGAAATGAGGGGCTGGGGATTTAGCTCAGTGGCTTAAGCGCCTGCCTGGCAAGCAAGAGGTTGTGAGTTAAATCCCTGGTACCAAAAAAAAAAAAAAAAACGTGTGTTCTCACCCTACCAAACAAACACAATCTCTTGCTCACTTATTAGGTTTTATACATTTCTCATATTTATTTCCTGAATTTTAAACTATTCTAAGTAGAAACTCATTTTTATAGATCTTCCAACCTGAAAGACTGCCCTTACATCTAATGGGAAAATACAGAGACTTGGAACCAAATGAAGTCTTTAGAGTTTTGTAGTAGATTACATTGGGCATTTGTTGAAGGTCTATAAAAATATGAGGATGACAAAAATGAGGAAGAAAAAGTTGGCTCCCAATAGAACTTTATAAATTAGTACTTGAAATAAGGCCCAACCCACAAACTAAAAGGAAACATCTTACTAGAATGTCTAAAATGCATTTTAATTCTGAACTTGATTAACAATAACCTTTCAAATGAATAAATATTGAAAATTTGTGGGCATTTTAGGCACATATCTGAAGAGACCTTTTTATTTTTTATTACTCATAAATGAGTAACAGATAACCATACAAATAAATCAAACAGGTGAGTTGATGTAGAAAGGGAAATCTGTATTCAGTGACTTTAGATTTAAGATTTCTAACATCTTGCCAAAACATTTCCATGTTATCCAGCATGGGGTTCACCTACTATTTCAGTCACACACCAAGAGTGTCAGGTTCTTTTGCTAAAAATATTCCAACTCATATCATATTGGCAGACAATACAAGAAAATCTGTCCAGTAAAATGACCAAGTTTTATGAGACTGAATATAAACAGAAAGAACGTGTAATATTTTAATAATCTTGAACACTAATTAAATCTCAATCTTTTCATAATTAAAATGATATTTTTAATACAGGTCCACAATCTCTGCTCTACAATTCAAAAATAAGACAAAATCAGAAAACACTCTGAAACCCAAAAGTATTTTGCACTTTTGGCACCTGGACTATTTGGCAACGAAACCTACCGTGAACAAACATGGGGCCTCTGTTTCTTCAGCACTCAGGTGCATCCAGCACACAGGACTCTGTTATTTGCTGACATTTTATGACCTGAGGAATATTTATATTGTAAAATGTCCAAGAGAGTTAAAACTATACCTGTGAGTAACAGTGAGAGGAAGAAAAGGAAGCATTTGTCTTTGTCTATAGCTCAGAAAGTGGAGCTATTACAGAAGCTTGATGCTGGTGTGTCTGTGAGACATCTTACTGAAGAATATGGTGTGGGAACCACCACCATATATGACTTAAAGAAACAGAAAGACAAGTTGCTGAAATTTTACAGTGACAGTGATAACCGAGAGCTAATGAAAAATAGAAAAACATTGCACAGGGCCAAAAATGAGGATCTTGACCGTGTGCTGATTGAATGGATTCGGCAACAAAGAAGTAAAGATATGCCCCTAACTGGTTTATTGGTCATGAAACAAGCTAGAATATACCATGAGGAACTGAACATTGAAAGTGAATGTGAGTATTCTGAAGGCTGGCTACAGAAATTTAAAAAGCGTCATGGTATAAAATATCTTAAAATGTGTGGTGAAAAAGCTTCTGATCATGAAACTACTGAAAATTACATTGATGAATTTGCTAAGATAATATCTGATGAAAACCTTAGCCCTGAACAAATTTACAATGCTGACGAAACAGCACTATACTGGTGTTATGTTCCTAGAAAAACCTTAACAATGGCTAATGAAAGGTTACCAACAGACCTCAAGGATGCCAAACAAAGATTAACTGTTCTTGGGTGTGCTAATGCTGCAGGCACACACAAAATAAAATTGGCAGTCATAGGAAAAAGCCTAAATCCAAAATGTTTAAAAGATGTGAGCAGTTTACCTGTGCATTATTATGCAAACAAGAAAGCATCAGTAACAAGAGAAATCTTTTCTGACTGGCTCAATAAGCACTTCGTGCCTGCAGCACGGGCTCATTGCAAACAAGCTGGACTGGAAGACAATTGCAAAATTTTACTGTTTTTAGACAACTGTTCTGCACATCCCCCTCCAGAACTTCTTGTGAAAAGTAATGTTTTCAGCATTTACCTTCCTCCTAATGTGACATCTGTAATACAGCCATGTGACCAAGGAATTTTACGCTCCATGAAGAGCAAGTATAAACATTATTTTTTAAACTGCATGCTTGCTTCAGTGAACAGAGGCCTGAAAGTCCAGGATTTCCTTAAAGAGTTTAATCTTAAGGATGCCATTTATGCAGTTGCTAATGCTTGGAATGATGTCGATAAGTCAACATTAACAAGTGCTTGGCACAGACTTTGGGCTACGATGATGTTTGAAAATGACCTTGCCGATGAAGATTTTGAGGGGTATAAGGACTCTAGTGAGAAAGTGATGATATCAAAACTCATTACTTACGCCAAAAGTTTATCAGCCGAAAGTGTAAATAAGTTAGAAGAAGCTGACATTGAAGAAATGCTGAACATTGATAATGATGCACCTGTTGTGCATCCTTTGAGTGAGGAGGAGATTGCTAAAATGGGCCAAAGTACAGACCAGTATGAAGATAGCAGCAGTAATGATGATGACATTGTGAGCACAGATAAAAAAATCTCTGTAGACAATATGGTGGAAATGTGTGACCAGTTAATTGCTGGCCTTGAACCATGTGCATTTATCAGTAAACAAGAGATCTTGGTAATTTATGCAATTAAAGAGAAACTGCTTAGACAAAAACCTATGTTGTTAAGGAGACAAATGACACTGGGAAAAGTTCGCTGTAGTAATGCTTCTATATTACTTGAGAAGACTTCTGGTTCACCTACATATGTTTAGCTTCAACCTAGTTTTGTAAACAATGTTAATATTAATGTAACCATACTTCCAAAATTCTCAAGCAACCAGAATTGATGAACATTTATTGCATGTATATGTATTGTGAGTTAGTTTTCATCAGCAACTTTTACATAAAAATTTCCTTGAAAATGAGAAACTTTATTAAAGTAGCAGAAGAAATAAGAAACTTTAAGTATATTTGGTCTATATTTATATTATTTCATTTAATAGTAAATTTATATCAATAATTTCACTTACTGATAAGTCTACTGATTTATATAAATAAATTGTAGCATTATGTCTGATCTTTATTCCTCTTATTGTGAATTTTTATACATTTCTTTCCAGAAATACTAATGTGTTTCATTACAGGGTACAATCTCATACCCATTCTGGGGTATTATAAACTACATATTCATTACATTCCAAAGAATTCCAATTCTTTTCTAAAGTTAAAAAATTCTCTGAAAACATACTTACTCCCCCAAAGTTTGGAGAAAAGATTGTGAGCCTATAATACTTACCTTAGAAATTTGTTTTGCAAATCTAACAAGACAATAAATGTAAAGTAGTGCTAAGCACAAAGTAAATACTCTTTACATATAGTTACTATTACTGTTATTTCCTTACTCATTTAAAACTTAGGGCAAGATGTTTCTGATGCTGAAGATAATAAATCAACCTAACATTGATACTAAGATAAGCACTCTTCAAATTTTATCATCCTAAGAGACGCTTTGACAATGTGCACATAATAATTCAGTTTAGTATCTCCTAAATTTTTACCCAAGAGATAGAGACATTTCCTAAATCAGAAGACAGAAAGTGTTATTCTACATTAAGTTACATTGTTAATAAAACCTATAGTTAGCCTTTATTTTATTCATCAGAGAAATACAGTTGTTTGCGTACCATTTCTTCAACTTTCTCTGCTCCCAGTATCACATAAATCATTTCCTATTCCTTGTAATCCAGAGTTTCTACTGTCTTAAGTCCTTAAACGTATCTGAATAAACAAATTGATAATTGTTTTATAAATAAGTCTATTGTTAGCCTTATGACTTTAAATTTTCCCAATAGGCTCATCTTTGTTTTGGTTTTAACCATCTGGTGTGTTATACCGTAAGCCATATGGGGCAGAAACCACATTCTCATTCCTGTTCACTCTGTCTTCGCTATTTATTTATTTGGTACTGGGGGTAGAACTCAGGACTGTGCTCTTGCAAGGCAGGCACTTATGCTGCTGAGCCAAGTCCCCAGCACATTCACTATCTATAACAGCAGACATAAACACGAAAGAGAATACATATGCATTTAAAGACCAAACTATATTCACAGGCTTTTTTGGTCAGATTATTTGAACTTAATACCATATTGTGAGGTTTTTTTCATATCGGTCCTGTTGGATCTGATAAAAACCAGATCTCTGCACTGCATCCAACTTATCATCTTTCTGAGATTTCTTACTTACAGATACAGGATTGAACATGATTCTTGCAGCTCCTCCATAAGACTAGCCTTATTTATTCCCTCTATCCCTCTATCATAACTGTCCCTCTTATTTCTCATTAGTTCATGCTTCAGCTGTTTGCTATGATTGTCATAAAGTATATTAAGATCATCATGTGACTTCATAGGCTGATCTAACTGGTGATAAGCTTCCTTTCCCCACTCAGTACTGCTCTTCAGTTGGGGCGAGCTGCAGTTGGACAGAAAGAGGCATGATATGCAAGGAGGAATCCCAGGAGGGAGGAAAACGACACTACTCCACCTTGGTAAGTAGGGATTGGAGGGTAGTCCTCAGTATTATTCTTCCCAATCTCATAGAATGAATGATTAAGCCAACTGCCAACTAATAGAGATGCCTGGAATCGCTGTGCTGCCCTAGAAATCTCAGCCAGGGAGTGGCTAAAAGTCTGCTCTATCGGTACTTGAACCAAAGGAAACAAAAACCAGGTGATACTAATTTTTTTTTTTCTTTTGTGCCAGAGATCAAACTCCCGACCTCACATTTGCCAAGCAGGCACTGAGGCCGCTAAGCTAAACACCCGGCCCCATATACTAAATGTTGTATTGTGAACTATGTCCTACAAACTGACCTTACATAATATAATTTTTGAACTTCATTTACCACATAATATCAGGTTTTTGTCTGTACTTTCTACAAAATTCTAATGATGCTTTTCCTCCCCCAAATAATATGCTTTATGTCACTTGGGGATAAGTGTTATCTGGAGTGTGAATCCAGTTGATAGGTAACAGCTGCCTGAATACAAGTTTGACAGTTTGAAGCCATGTCCCAGCTTAGTCGGTGTGAGGTAAACATCTGTTAATGTCTGCCTTGTGTGCATCAAGTATAATATAAATGACAAAACAGATTGTATCTATTCCCAGTGGAGGCCTTATATTTTTCCTACTCATCTTTGCTTCAGACCTGCTGCTTCTGGTAGTTTACAGGTGATATCATTACTTTGTATCCATTTTCTGTATTATGTTGCACCAGACAGCACCCCCTTTCCTTTACACACACAAACAGCAATCACAATGAAAAGACTGATGATGGAGGGGGTAATTTGACAAAGACAAGGTGCTTATCTTTAGGCAGTGCTGTATTTATTTATTTATTTATTTGTTTTGATACCAAGGATCAAACTCACAACCTCCACTTGCCAGGCAGGAGCTTGCTTATACAGTACTAAGGACTGAGCTAACCCTCAGTCCTTAGTACTGTGTTTTAAAATCCAGTTAAAATGAACCCTATGGTGTTGTATTTGGGAATTCAGTGTATTAGTATCAATTTGTTGTTTTTAACATCTATAAGCAGGTGGATAGAGAAATACCAGTAAGTATGCATTTATGGGTCTGTATATATTCGCATACACTTGAGACAACCTAGAAGCAAAGATTCCCCAGTGGTTATAAGTATACTTAGATTCCAGATATGGTTTCTAAATACCATTCTTCAATAAAAGTGACTAGAGTTCCTTATAAAAGTGATTACTGTCAAGAAGAGCAGAAAAGGAACAAAATGGACTTAAAACATCTTGTGGTGAAAGGAAAAAAATGTGGGCTTTTTCATAGGAATCAACATTAAAAAAAATATAATGTCTAAACCTGGAACAGTCTGAACAGGAAAATGAATAATGATTGTATTGGAGTATAACCCATATGGAAAAAGAAATATTCCTGAGACCATATAGTTAAAAATAAGCAATAATTATCCCCCCCCCCGTAAGAGGAGAGCAGCTTTTCCTTACAGTGAAGTTTCGATTAATATAGAAACAAATAGAAAATCACTAGTAAGTAAATATCACCTGATACTTGCAACAGGTGCAATATATTTAGGTATCCTAAAACTAGCTAAAGTTTAAGGAGGAAAGCCTGTATATCAAATTATCTACCATAGATACTTAACTATCCAAAGGAAAAAAATAATAACTTTACAGTGGAGAATCGAAGTACTTCCTTAAGTAATAGCTCAACATTACCAGTAATAAAATATCATGAATCATTATGTGATACACTAGAGACACATTTTCATTTTTGTGGTATTCTTGCCAAATGTGCATACTTGGTTCAATCATGAGAAAACTCACTTTGAGAGAAATTCAATAAAATAACTGATCATTACTCGTTAAAGGTATAAACAACATGGAAGACAAGAAAGAACTGAAGAACTATTGTAGATCACAGGAAATTAAGAAGAAAGAACAACTAAAATTAGGATCCTGAATAGAATTCTGCAACAGAAAAAGAATCTAAGTGAAAATACTAATGAAATTAAGTCATCTTCAGTAAGTAATATTATACCAGTGCTGATTTCCTGGTTCTAATATATACTGCCATGATTATAGAAAATGCTAACATTGTAGAGAAGCTGGGTGAAAGAAATATGAAAACTATGATATTTTTGCATCTTTTCCATATACCTAAAGTTTATTCAAGATAAAAAGTTAAGAAGTATACTTCGTTTTGTTTTAATGAAATACCTTTCAGCCACCCCAGCTAAAGGGAAACACTGCTTTCTAACCTCTGTTCTCTATAAGATTCTAGGCCCCACCCATGATGCACAGATACATTTCAGGGCAAGCTTCTCAACCTCCCCTCCATTGTTCCCCACATTGATTCATCTCAGTTTATAGAGTGATTTGTCATTTTACACATTGACTAGGACCGATCTTTGTCCGTCAAAAAACTTAATAATGTAGAAACAAAGGGTACTCTATTCCTGGTCCCTCTCTTTGGCAGCCCAGTGGAATGGGCAGAGCCTTCATAATTTTAGTCTTTTCTCCTTTCTTCAGGGCCTGAGAGCAGAGGACCAGAATAAAGATTGATTTCTTATTGATGGAAATTGTCATAACCATATCTGTTTGAGGTTTTTTATTTTGTTTTGGTTTGGTTTGAGTTTTTTTGAGACAGGGTATGCTATGTAGTTCATGCTAGTCTTGAACTCATTATGTAGCTCAGGAGTGCTAGAATCACCAGTGTGTACCACTCCACCCAGCTATAGTTTTAAGTAATTTTTCTTTTCTGTCTTACACTCAAAGTTGTGAAGATCCTTTAATTGTACTTGTTCTCGTTCAATGGTGTTTGTTAACTTTCTGAATCCTGGCATGTCTAAATGTCTTCATTTTTTTTAATTTTGAGAATATTGTTATGCTATCTTCAAAGTTTTCATTAGCTTAAGTAATCTGGAGGGGTTTTTGTTTTGTTTTGTTTTGTTTTTCAGAAATATTAGAATTTTCCCCTGTATCCTTAGTTCTCTGGAATTTTGCCAGCAAGTATTTGTCATCTGACTTTTAAAAATTTGCTTCCAACTCATTCTATGGGGGTCTTTCACTGGAAGTTTCATGTCTTTAATTGGCAATGAGTTTTATTTTACCTATTATTTCTCTGAATTTTCCATTGCTCCTATCACACCATTCACTTTTTTTGAAAGTCTTACATTTTTCTCAAATGTTTGGGGATTCTTGGTCATGTTCAGCTTGTTAACCCTTACGTCTTCAGTGCTTATTTATTTTCTGTGGTTTGAGGGGTGGAACACTGGGAAGCAGGATACTACCAGGCCAAGGGGCTCAGTAACATCTGGGTATGCAGACTCTCATTTCCTTTTGGTGTTCACACATCTGTGCAGTACTAACCTGCTTGTGATATCCAAGTATTATCATTCACTGGAATTACTTTTGCTGTTTGCTTGTATAACATAGTGGAAAAATTAAAGAGGAACTGCCTGATTGTTTCTACTGCAGCAGTATTACAAAATCAACTGATTTAATTCAAGGCTGTCTCCTGATCCCCATATCTATTTTCCTTAAGTTTGGAGGAATACCGAAGCCTATCTCATAAATTTTCCAGGCACCTTCTTCATGAATTTTGCATAGTTCAATGTTATCCCAATTTTGTTTTCTGTCTTTCAAATGTTTCCCCAGCATTTCAGGTCCAGTTGAAGTAATTTGTCTTGTAAATCAGCATGATTTTCAAATCTCTATTTGCGTGTGTGTGTGTGTCCCTATCAAGATAGTTTAATTTAGTTTATGGGTTAAGTCAGAAGAAGGCTAAATGAGCTTGTGTTTATGCTGCTGTCTTAATTGTGTGTGTGTGTGTGTGTGTGTGTGTGTTACTAGACATGTAATATTTTTGTAGAAATTTTCAAAACTTTTTAAATATACATATTACTTTTCAGCTAAAATGTTATATGTAAGATCACTACAGTAACCAGGCAAAAGTGATCTAGCTGGAGCAGAGGAGGCAGCGCTGAGCATGATTGCTTGGTCCCTTCTTTCCACTACAGAGCAAAAGACTAGAACTCTATGGACTAGTTTTAGGAACAACTGGCATGATTTAGCTCAGGAGTTTCTGCTCTCATGGGTTCTTTTATTATTTTATTTTTTTCCAGTGTTCAGGTTCAAACCCAGGACTAGGCAATTGGTCTGCTATGGAGCTAAACAATCAACCCCTAATAGATTCTGAGTAAATAGTAGCTATCTTTATTACTACTATTAAAACATTAGGCTTTATGCCTATCTGAACTCCACCACTCATTCTGTCAGTCACACTTTAGGGAGTTATTTAAAGGACAAAGGACAACTAAGCCGCTATTGAATGTGCCTAAGGACTCTACCAGATATGTATATATTACCTTACTTAATCTTCACAATTACCCTAAGAGGTAAGTGTTTTCATATCCAGGACGTATTGAGAAACTATTGATTCAGACAGACCCAGAAGGTATGTACACAAATTCAAATGAGTAAGAAATAGCTGGTTATTCTATTTCCTTAAGTTTAATTAAAATTATATTTTAATTAAAACCAAGTCCTGGCATGGTTGCAATGACAGGGGAGAAAATGACATCACAGCCATCTGGGGACTTCCCTATTAAGACTGGAATTAAGGTTCTGGGCTCTTCCACAGTGTCCTAAAGCATGAGAAGAGCCTACCTGTCATCTGTCATCGGTCATCCATCTATACAATTCTGCTGCTGTCCAGGAAAGCATACTCTAGATGGAGCTATGTAGGACCTATGATGGCAAGATCTTTAAGATATCAGGGTCTGGTCCCTAAAATTTAAAAGATTCACCCAACATTCAGCCATCCTCTCTGAGCACTAGTCTCCATCTTTGCCCTCAGAACCTCAGGAATCCTCTTGCTGCCAGACAGTGTGAGGGTCAGTTGTCCATTCCAGATTCTTACTGTCCTGTTCAAAGTATGGGATAGGGCAACCACTGAACATGAAAGTTCAAAATTTACTGAAGATAGTAGAGGTAACAAAAGTAGGGAAAAATAATGTTTTGAAAAGAAAGAAAAAACAGGAAAAGAGAAGTGCTCTAAAAAGCCCATAGAAAGGAAGAGAGAAAATGTACCCTGCTTCAGAGGAGGTCACTGAAAGAGTAACAAGACAGTAGCCCAAGTCTTTGATACTCTTCCTTTGAGTCAGATACCATCATTGTTATGCACCATGATTTAACAGCTCTTTGTGGTGGCAGGGCGTGCCTTGTTGTCTGGTACCTCTTTTCCATTTCTTCATGATTGACAGGTCACACTTTGTTGTCAAGTCTCCTTGCCATGCCCTAATCTCCTGTCTCACTCTTACCCCAATCATCTACTTTTAGTGATGGAGATTTATTTCTTTCTTCTTTTTGCCCTGTTTCCTTTTTTCCTTTTCTTCTCAGAATAGTTAGTAAAATCTAACTATTTTAGCTTTTTCAAAATAAAAACTGTTCATTGCCTTTTCTGCTCTCTTTTTTCAAAATTCCTGAAACATGGGGCTGAGGGTTTAGTTCAGTGGTAGGAAATATGTTATCATGTGCAAAACCCAGGCTTTGATCTCCAGCAACACACACACACACACACACACACACACACACACACACAAATACACAATTATGAGGCAAGAAAAATACTAGTTTCCTATTTTGAAAGGGGGGTAGTGAGCACAAACTACAGAGAATATAAAGAATGATCTCAAAGAAGATTTTTCTACCACAAAAATTAAATACAAGCTTGGCAAGCACAAGGTTGTGAGTTTGATCCCTGGTACAAAACATAAGTATAGTAACTAACCCCAATGCTTCAATAAGAAGGAAAGGTGGGATTCAAAAATGCTATTTCCATTATACACACCACCTAACTAGAAATCATCCTGAAGATCAAGCTCCCGTTGCTGCAGGACACGTGCTTTTAGGCAGCAGAGAGCAGCAGCTGCACATTTCAGATGATCCACTCTGTGCGCACTCTAGATGGGATTTCAAGTGCTTGGTGAGACTCCGGCACTTGAGGTTCAAATCCAGAATCGCCTCACTCACCTCCAGCAAGACATTCCATCATTTTATACTGGATAAATATAGTGTGTCCTAAGGACAAAATGTAACTAATCTGGAGATTCTACAAGAATTGTACTTATGTAAAGCTATATTTCCCAGAAACAGTACAAGAAGGCACATTTAAAGGGAACAAGCCCATGCACTATCAGCTCATTGCAATATATGCACTGTGTAAAATAAAGGTAAAATGAAGTGAGTTTTTCACATAGGTATAGTTTCAAGAGATTCTTGAGTTTTATTCTTTCTAATAATAATAGCACATTTCCAGTTAGAAAGTTTTTCTTTTCTTTTCTGAGACAAGGCCTTCTGTGCAGTTCAGACTGGCCTTAAACTCACTACGTAACCTTGCAGCAGTCCTCCTGCCTCAGCCTTCTAAGAGCTAGGATTATAGCCATGAACTATCAGACCTGACCCAAAGTTTTTAAAAATCCCATTTCAGAGAACCAAGGGCTTCATTTTGTTCTAAACTAATTTATTATAATACCAATGTAAATTTGATAACTTAGTAATAAAATCTTAAATAGCTAAGGATCTCTGCTATCTTTATTTTTATGTATACAGAAATATTTTTATATTGACCTCAACTGTTAAAATACATAAATTTAAAAAAATAATGATGACACCAGGGATTTAGCTCAGCAGCATAAGTGCCTGCCTGGCAAGCTTAAGGTCATGAGTTTGATCCCCAGTACCAAAAAAAACCAAAAATAAAATACAGTGATAGAAGAGGTAGTGTGAGTCTTCTGAAAAACCAAAATAAGGGATTAAAAAATTCAGACTTTCATAAGTGAGAATTTTGGACCCACACACATTTTGTTTGCTCACTTCACTTTTCCAGTAGAAAACCCTTTAGATAGATTATAGAAAATATGAAAACAAGGAAAGTACAAAGAAAAGTTCTCCAGGAGATCTGTCACCTAAATACTGTTAACCTTTTTTTTTTTTTTATCGGAACCAGGGATCGAACTCAC